TCAAGTTTTTAATTACTTTTAAAACATTTTTTAAAATATTTTACTTAATTTTATATTTTTTTTTGCATTATAAAAATTTTTATAGTTTTTTTTATTTCTAAGGCAAATTAATATTTTTATTATATATTTTTTTAATAGAAAAAAATACTGGCATTAATAAAATGAAAAAAAATACTCGCATTATTAAAATAAATATCTATGCGTAAATATTTGTTATTTTCTGAGGAAATGCAGTCTCCTTCGTAATACGCAATTTATTCTGTAATCTAGATCATCTTCAAGATAATGTAGTTCATTTCTTATCTTTTACGAGCAACAGTTTGACTATATTTTATACCGTTATAGAAACTTCCTTTCTGCATTCCCATTTTTTGTATCTTACCTTGCTGATCTGTTGCACATTGTGCGCATACCTAGAAGAATTCTTTTAAAAATTCTTCGTGTTATATGTGTGTACAGAACTTTATTACATATTGTTTGCAAGTATATCTTTTAAATAAATGTATCTATACACTTTCGTGTATATAAACATGTTTTTTTTAAAAAAATGTTAATAATTTATTTTGATAAGTTATTATCATTTTTTATTAATTTGTATATTTAATAATTAATCTATTATTTAATAATTAAAAATAATTATTCGTTCATTTGATTGTGCATGTTTGAGTTTCGTATATTGCTTTTATTTTGCATTTCTTATTCTTCACGTTTAATGTGCCTTTATTCCTTACTTTATTCATTCGGATAGGTGCAGTTAGAATGCATACAATGCATACAAAGATATATAGAAAGAACAAAATTAACATAAAAAAGAAAAATTCTTAAATTTCAATATATATGTATAAATACCAGCAATTATATATATTCTATGTAATAGTTACATATTCTTTCTCTAAGGAAATGTATATTTTAATCAGAATTTTCAAATAAATATTATGGTAAATATTAGAATATGAAGATTTTTTTTTAATGTAATTCAAATATATAATAATGTATAATGTAAATAAGATATAATATAAATTTGTATTAAGAAGAAATAGATCATATTTACATTCTATAATGTATTTAATCATATTTGAATCAATACAATTAAGTGGCAATCGTATAATTTTAGACAAAATTTTTTGTAAAGATCAATTTCATTATATTAATTCAGATTCAATAGATGTATATATTAATAAACATTATGGTTATTCGTAGAAATATCTTGGCACGATGCAAATATACCTATTTCCATGAGTTCATTGTTCGCGATACCTAACAGCTATAAATGTATTTGTATAGAGTTCTTATTGCGATCTCTTGTCAATGAAAAGAATTCTTTTTTCGAAATATTTTCAATTAACTAAAAATAACATATCAAATAAAGAGGAGAGTAAAAGAGAAGAAAAAAATTATGGAAATTTTTACATGTAAGCAATTTAAATTATATATACTTTAGTATTATAATTATATATATAAGTATTATAGTATTATATTATATATATAAGTATTATATATACTTTATTACACAAGTATTGCTATATATAATTTTTATATTTTGCAGAAATAAATCGGTGTATTTACGAAAATATTCTTTTTTCGAGGCAGATACTGCGTATGTAAAGTTCATTTCGTGGAATAAGAATATCGGCAATTGGACTGTTAATTAATGGCTCATACGTTTTAAATTTATTCTTCTCTCTGATATTCTGACCAGTTCAATTTTTAATGAAGCCCACCGCCGTGGATCTTACAGGGAGAAATTAACAACCTCTTTTACATGGACATGGTGTTTGGCTATGTATGATATTGTATACACGGTGAAACATTTATCTTTTTACATGAACATTATAATTAAAATTGAAATAATTTTTACGAACAGTTTGAAAATATATAAAATAAATTCGTGAGTATATGATATTGATTTTCAAACATTATGAAATATATATTTATTTATCAATTTTCATGAAACTTTTAACAAATTATATATTTTCAATAATTTTTAAATCGTAATACATTAAAGCGATATTTTTAAATCTATGAACGAGATTAATCAAGGTTATTCTTAATTTTTTATGCTTTACAGTATAAATGTCAGGAACATCGATAAATAGAAAGTAACCATGGATTTTTTAAAACGACACTCTGTATACGTAGACTTAGTACTCGCAAACTGATATACGAGATACATTGCGTATGAATATTTAAATCCACCTGGTTTCTCTCGTATGTATAACATTATATGAGAAAGATGTATTCATAGGATGCATCGTCAACACTGTTGGTACGGTCATAAATTATACGAGAATTGCATATTTTGTAACCAATTTGAAGTAATAAATTTCATCCCCTTGGTGAACGTGACAATCTGTAATACGAATGCCGCTAATATCTTTTCATTTATTCATACGTAACGAGCGAAAGAGAGGTAACTTTGCTTCATAAACGAGATTCACAGCCAATGATATTGTCGTATCAAGTTATTAGAGATTAACTTAACAAATTAATTGAGATTTATTTAATTGTTGTCCATTTTAACATATATTGATTAATTTTTCTACGACCATATTTAATGATTTATATGCATTTTAAAATATTGATATAAATTTTAATATCAATGCACGACGAGGCAAAATTATCATCTTTTTTTTTTTTCATTTTTAGTTTGCGAAGATTTTACAAACCTGAGGTATATGTGTTAAGTTAATTAGATTCTACCTGACAAATTTCTCAGTACACAGTCTTTCGTTTTCCTTTCCTTTTAACAAACTGATCTTTTTTTTTCACGTGAAAGTTAGTGCGAATGAAAATGATTTAGCATCGTAAAAAAATAATTCAAATCATTCATTTAATATCAATTTTCATCATTTATAGGATATATATCAAGAAAGGAATGATTAGAGAATTATAAATATTTTCGGGGATGGTCTTGATTTTGACACATAACTTCATTCCTAATAAATAAACCAATCTAACGATACATTAACGATATAGTAATCAGCAGAGGTGCCGATTTCTCGGGCCACCGCAGCTAAACTTCAGCTTCGTATCTAACCCCAAACCAGTAGAACCGGATTTCGTGAGAATATGTCCCCCAAGGCTTGAAAAAAGAAGCGTCTAAAATAAAGACGCATAGAAGAATTTCATTGGTACGTAGCGCCATGTTTAGACATTATTAAATTATCACGTTACCCGCGATTTTTTTCTTAGATATGTTCTGAAAGTTATTCCAAATCTCATCTTCAACATCGAATAACATTAGAATAAAATCCAAATATAAATAACAAATAAAATACAATAATAGTTTGCCACTTGAAATCATTCATAACCACGCCGGAAATGTCTTAAACTTGTAGCGACTATTAGAAAGATACAAGTCTGTCGTCTTCGTAGACCGAACAATAAAGTATTGTGAATTCTTCATTCGTGAGAAAAATGGTTGGTGGAACAGTGGCTCATTAGAGGAAGATACATTTTACGATCTTCTATACTATTCTATGACTTTAGAAAAAAAAAAATTGACTACCTGTGAGACCAACACGATATTTATTTCCTCATTTTATTCTGTTACATACTTATTTCACAGATAATACATCAAATCGCTTTCCCATTATCCTACAATAATACTAAAACATGGCAATTCTTCCATCAGTCATAATGGAAACCGTGTTTTTCTTCTCGCAGTATGAAAATTACAGCGCGATCGCCTCTGCGGTCAGAGATTACGTATCGCGATTGGAAGTGCATCGATCGTTCATTTCCTTGTCAGGGTGAAAAACGAACACGGATCGTTTGCCTTTCGTGGTGGACAGATAAAGCGAGATAAAGCGGAATAGGGGAACGCAAAGGACGAAGACAAAGCCGCTTTGACCATTACTCTCGAGTTTCGTGTCGATAATTTTTAAGATCGATGCGGTTCGCGATCCCTCGGAATACCAAGTTACACCGGCGTCGGGATCGGTCACTGTGCGCGAAGATCGGCCGCAAAAACAACGATATCCGATCGATCGAGACTACGCCAATGTATTTGGTCCCGTAACGGGGCTCGAACTACGGTCCGCTGCTCCGCGTACTCGAAACCCATCGCTTCCTGTACCAACGACTTTTTTTCTCCCTTTCTGTCTCTCTCGAACGACCGGGCTTAATTAAAAATACCGGTAGACCGAGGCATCCGTGTCTTCTTCGCGAAGAGGCTACGCTTACGTGATTTCGACGCGCGATTTTACTTTGCTAAGGATAGGGATGGAGGACGGAGAGACGGTGAGAAATCGCTGCCGATAGGGAAATGTAGGTAACGAACGAATCCGCGACTGCTTTCGTGCAAGAAACTGCTTAGAAGCGGTCGGCGGATGGTTTACAGATGTTGGGCAACCATTTGCACGCTATGTTTCGAGATGTTGGTAATCATAAAAAAGGGAGATAGCGTGAGAGGGTGATTGAAAATTTGATAGGGTTAAAAATGTGATTTTAAAATTGAATTGGAAAATTGTGTGTGGAGAAACGAACAGTGGAAGATAGAATACAACAGTATTGATTTTTTGATTATGTATGTTTTTAAAATTCCAATTTTCCAAGAATCGATTTTGGTTGGTTGCAGGGATTCGGAGAAATATTTATTACACATCGTGCATTTTTATTGTTGAGCATGTTAGGCATTGAAATTGATATATAGAATGAGGAGAAATTCTGACAACGTCTGATTATGCTGTAAGAAAGTAGTATGTGTTATTAATTATTTAAATTTTCTATTCTGTGTATGCAAAAATCGACCTGTATACATTGGAGAAAAAAAGAAAAGATGCACATAAGAATGATGCATACTTATACAGCCGGGCAATGCTTACGCATACATGCGCTCATATAAAAGGACCTGTCTCCATGAATGAAGTCAAGTGGGGCCACGTGACACCAAGAACGACGTAAGGAACGTGCGCGTGAAAAGCGCGCCGGTGGTTTACGCGCGACATCGAATGTTCAGTGATAGGCCAACGGATGGCGCAGATGTCGCGTGGCGGCTGCTTGAAACACCTGACTGCCGCCTCGCAGTGTAGCATGGACTCGTGTGGCGCACACTTCTTTTAAAAGTGGTAGCACGCGCGGTTTCGAATATTTGCTTTTATTTTCGGCGTAATCAATTACGTATACGCGAGTGACAGTTGACGAGTGTGTAACGTCTGCCGTTTGACAATCTTTCATGTAATATGAATCGAGAGAACGAAGAGAATTCGCGAAATTTCACCGACCTAGAGTTTCTCATCCGTGAACGGTGCACTCGTTTCGTACGCGGGGTTCTGTCCTATGCGCAGTAATTATGACAATTCGTTCGATCTGCGCACGTATCGAATTTATGGCGTCAAAGGGACAACTTCGCGTTGTATCGGCAAATAAAATTTAAACGCGGAAAAATAATGCGTGAATCGCAATCGAAATAGTTTGTGCGAATTTTATAACCGTGTTTTGTCCTATTATCATCGCATTTATCGCGTTTTTAATAATATGCGAGGATTAGCATTCGGTACGCGATTGCGATATTCGAACTTCCCGCTTCGAGCGTTCGATATTTTCGAGCTTTCCTCATCGAAATTCCGATTCTCGCGGTTTGCGAAAATGTGATCGAATGGCGTGTCCCGCGTCGTGCGACGGATTTTTCGTGGCCGGAAAACGCATATTTTCGTGATCAAAATGACGGTGAACCGATCGGTGGTAACAATGGTGTTAATATTAGTGACTTCCGTGATTGTGTTAGTGCATATGAAGGATGTGACGACACTGGAGTACGACGATCTTCTTTTGGCAAACGAGACCAACGCCCGGCATCGCGTCCATACAGGTCAGTCAATGATTTTCTTTTCCATATCTTTTATTTAACTTTTCTGTTTGATTCTTAATCGTACGAAACTTTGTTCGTTATTAAGATTTTACATTAATTAATTTAAAAATCGATTATGAAGCATAGTCATATTTCCGAGAATTTTCGAAGCCAAATATTGTGTTCATCTCTTTCGTAAAAAATGTAAATTGAAGAATAAAGCAAAGCAAAGACAGATCAAAATTTCTAAGAAATTGATTTCATAATAGCGAGCGTATTTATAAACAAAATCGAAGTAGCTTAGAATACGTTAATCTTCGAGCAATACATTTCTTTCGTGGATTCAATTGTATGTGTGTAGTTCACATATATTTTTATATTGAGAAATTTCGAAGACGCCATCTATGAACTATAAATTATATTTCACACGTATACATACATACAATGTTTTTCAATTGGACTTTTATTTTTTCTTTCTTTCATATTTTTCTGTATCACTTTAATTTTCTAATTAATTTTTTTCATTCATTTTATTATATTCATGATATATACACACGATTTTTAATTTTAATATTCATAATTGTTGTTTGAGGACGTTGTTTGTAATTCTAATATTTCATCCTAACTCTTTGAATAACAAAAAGAAATATTTGTTTCTCGAAAAGGAATCAAAGTTTCATGACAGCGCCCTCTCATCGATAATTTTATACACGTTATAATTTGCATCGAATGTTACCGCTCATTTAAATTATCGAAAGTGTCGCGCTTATGGTTATTGCACAATGCATGTTACGATGCTTTTTTTTAAAACATTACGATTTTATAGGAAGAAAGATATTGGTAATATTAATTGCATTTATTATTTTTTGTATATTCATTGTTTTTTTTCTTTTTTCAATTATGTATTACGTATGCAACGTTTCATAATTATCCTAAAGAAAGTCGAAGTATTTTCTTATTCATCATTTTTTTTTCACGTTGAATGGGATTCTTTTCGAAATTCTTCATCGTAAAACAATGATATACGTAACATTTATGAACGTTTTTCGTTTGCGGCAATTGCACTCTCTCGAAATCAACAGTATGACGGTGAATGCTTGAACTTTGTTACTCGTCTTTTACCGGGGAAGAATGACCTTTGCTCTAACGCTTCTGTGAAAGTATTATACGTTCGCCGAGTAAGGCCTTGTGCCTTTCCGAAGTAATCTTCTAACGCACGCCTACTTTTCACGGGGAAAATTTCATTTTCCCTTTAGTTTCTATGTTCTGAAATCTTCGTATTTTATTTTCACATATCTCCCCGTATTTTTTGATCCATGAAATTATATTTAAAAATAGAAGTATCTCGAATATGTTACGCGCGTTCAAAATCATTATTGTATATTATAATTTATTATCGTGAATATAATTTCTGATGCTGATTCTTGATATACAACTGTGATTCAGATGTTCTAACGAATAAATTTTCATTAGAATATTTATTATTTCTATTTATTACATTTTTAGAAGTTTTTTATTTTTTTATTTTTTACATCTCGATATCAAAATAAGCAAAATTTATAATTTTACATAGAACTCGGTCTATACGAATTATTTAATCGTTTGTAATTTAACGTGAAAGAGTTTGCAGGATAAATTGACTCTCTTGAGTTGAATTGAGCAAGTACAATTGAAATGCATCGTCCTCGATAATTCACGTCAAAGTAACATCTGAAGTAACATCCGTAGTAAAAAGATTACATAATTCTTAGGAAAAATCGTTTCGCTGTTTAGTTTTAATTGTGTCCATTATACTAGAGAAAGTTTTAACTTGTATAGTTAATTTACAACATGATCGGCTTAATTTCAACGATCTTTCTCGAACTCGTCGAATTCGAAATGAAATTTCGAAAAATGCAAAATAAAATACCGTTTAAATTTTCCCTCCGCAGTTTTTAATTTGATGAAAATGAAAATTTACCATTACGAATTACAGATTTTATTACTCGTAATTCTTTTCTTCTGAACTCACGTCTCTCTCTGTATTCACGTCTCATTTTCGAATTTTTTTCCAACAAAAAAAGGAAAATACAGTACGTATGCATGATCCTCCTCACTCCTCCATTTAATTACACCTACGTAACAACCTGATCCTTTTACCAAAGAGTTAAACGGCGATTAACGCGTACATCACCACGCCTAGAAAAATTTCTCACGCCAGAAAAGAATTCGCCGACCGTGGTTGGATCGTGCCCATCAACTTAATCGCACCCGTTTAATTTGCATTCGCTTAGAAAGGCGGAAATGCGTTTCTGTTCGTGTCCACAGAGGTGTCGCATGCCAACTCGATGAACTCTGAAAACAGACTAACCGTGCGTGCAAATTACTCGCGTGATCGCGCTTTCTATCGACGTACAAAATGTTAAATAGAATTTGACGCGGTGCCACATTGGAACGTATATACGCGATCATTAATCAGCCGAACGATAATTAAGTCGAAATTCTCCGTTTAAAGATCTTCCGTGCATAGACGGTGCGTTGCCGGTGTGAAACAACACAGGATGTATGGTGTAACCTGGACGTGTTGAAACCCGTGCTACAACGAAATTGATTCAGAGACATTCTAACCGAGTGATCGCGAACAATCGAGGATTTTTCTCTCTCTCTCTCTCTCTTCTTTTTTCTTTTTTAAATTTAATAAGGCAAAGAGTTACGCGTGTATCCGTCTCCTATCGTTGCTAATTGAAAGATTCGTAACGAAATCGATCCTTGTCGATCCTTTTCTATTTTTTTAAGAAGGGAAGAAAGATATATATATATATTAGTTTTTGTCCTATAGATTCGATAATTTAATTTAATTTAACTCTTAGTATTTTCACAATTTTTAATCAAAATTATATGGATTTCGATTGGACAATGGTCCAATTTTTCTTTAATTTCTAATAGTTCCATCTTTATAAGAATTTTAAGAATTATAAGAATTTTCTTGATCGATATTGATTATTTTAGTTTTTCTTTCTTTCTTTCTTTTTTTTTTTTTTTTTTACAATTCTTAGAACATTTTACAATAGAAAACGGTAATTGCAAATATATCAACGGCAATTTCATGGTATCGATTTATATTTAAGGATGGCGCTTTATCTAATTAACCCTTTATTATTGAAACGTAGCCGCGATTTTCGCAGGATGAGAGAGAATCAAACAAGTTGGCAAGTTATTTTAGTACGTGCGACAGTGTCTGGCACATCTGATGCATATGCATGCACTAAACGTAAACGTGCTGCCAGCGTAGAGTTCTTTTTCAACCTTGGTTACGAATGGTATACCGCGTACGTGTCGAGCCTGTTGTTAAGAGGATGGAATCGTACGAATCCTGCCAACGATTAACTGTACGAGCCTGATGCGCCCCAAGCGTTTGTTTAACGATGAAACATTTACGATTCGTTAGCGTTATTTATGATTTGGAACGGGTTCGTTAATAAATCATCCGACACGTTAAGTATATGCGAGCATAACGCGCGATTGCTTCCCTCTTCGTTCGCGACAGTTGCTTGCTGTGTTATTAATTAATTCTTTTTTTTTTTTTTTTTGTCGCGTTACTTGTTGTTTTTCGAAAAACGTTGATGCAAAACGATGAATAGGAGCTCGAACATCTTTTCAATATTTATTGTTCCAAGATTATGATCGATATTATAGGGGAAAGTTTAAGTATAATCCCAAGGAAAAGTTTGAATAAAATACAGAAATAGATAAGATTTCTCTCTTTCTGAAGAAAACGGTGTATCCGATTTTTAATAATTTCGCACTCGGCACAAAATCTTCCCTCGATATTATCTCAATTTATCTCGTTTCTATTGTGATTCGGTATTTCAAAATCTTATCTAGAAGATAGGAGGGTTTGTAGAAGCGGAGGAAATAAAATAAAAGACGGAGACGAAGGAAGCGCCATGCAATACAATGTGTAGGAACGTTTTGTGCGTTTTGATAAGAGAGGATCTACGTACTTATCGTGAGCGGACTTGTTATCTATTTTCAACGTGTGTGTAGCTAGTTACAAGCGAAAAGGCAAATAGGATAAAAGAGCGGGTTTCGTGTCGAGAACTCCAGGAAGCCTCGAAAGATTAATGTACACGCGATGTTAGGTGATCGAGGAAGAGATTTAATTAAGATTAACCCCACCGCATTAGATGATTCCTCTCCAATTTACAAGTGCGCGGTATTACGCTGTTATGGAATAATGTGATTTATCGTTCTCTTGTCCTATAGAATTATACCCACCACAGGCTCCGTAACTGATAATTGAGAAGCTTTTCGAGAAAAGAATCCTCGGTCAAATTAGCTTTCGTAATCTGTGAGCACTTTTCTTTTTTAATTATTTTATATTTGTTTTTCGTTCTAAAAATTTAATAATTATCCATTAGTTGGAACAAACTAAGTCTTAAGAATGATACGTGTGTCGGGATCTCGATACGTTTTTTATTGGGTATTGCATACGCATGTTACGTGTATGGTCGTGTAATGAAATGCAAAGATTTCAAGGTTTCACCTATATGGCTATGGACAGTTTTTCCCCTATTTGTATGTATCGGATACACCAATGAACGAGATTTAACCACCCAAGTCGCGATAAATCATGCATATCTGCCGTTGAAAGTTGGACAGTAAACCAGTTCTCCCGCATTATTGACATTTTTCCAATAATTTTATTATATTCGCTTTGATTATATCTATCTATATATATAAGTGAGATTAAAATTTCGCCAATTACCCGTTCGCAATCATCGATTTGATTTCGTGAAATTTTACTTTGAGAAAAAATCTAGGAATGTAGGATACTTTAGGAATCCATTTGAGTGTAAGATTCTCAAGAATCGATCATTAATCAATCAGATTTGAGAGTGAAAGTTACTTTTAATCCATTTGTAAAAAAATTACTTTCAACATCAACTTTGAGGAACTTCTCCTTAAATGGATTCGCTTAAAACGACCGTGACGATAATTAGAATTACGGTGGAATTATCGGTCAATGTCGTCGAAATCAG